ATAAACTGTGATAATGTGAGAAATGTTGAAGGTGTCTGAATAAATTTTGGTTTGACTGTATCTATTTGATAAATGAAGCTAACAAGATAATATTGGTTTCTGTACCCAATATTTCAAAAAATGTACAAATGCAATAAAAATATCGGTATCGGTACTCGGTACTCGGTATCGGCAAGTACCAAAAATAAAACTATCGGTATCGGGCGAGTACTGGAAAAAGTGGTATCGGTGCATCCCTAGTTTTTTCCCAGGTAAGTTTGTGTTTAGTTTGAGTAAACTCTTGAGTTCTCGGGCTCAAGAAGGTGGGTTGGTTTTGAACGGGTTTCGTCACCATGGTAACTTGCGCTACACAGCTACCCTGCTCCCCGAGCAGGTTTTATTCTGGGGTAGAGATCGCAAACCCAAACTGGACCAATCAGCTGTGAGAAAAGTTACATATATCTGACGCAATAAAGCCACCTCTCCATCTCTCGCTTCAAATTAAAGCAGTTTATAGTCAAATAATTTTAGAGACAAAATTGCCAGACTTTTGCGGCTACGTATTTATTATATTTATATTATATCAATTATAATTGTTTATAACTCATATAATATGTTCATATAATTATTATATAAAGTGACAATTTTAAGCTTTGCATTTCAATTAATTTAAATATATATACATATAGATAAGCTTTAACATATCCAACTTTTAAAATGACTAAATTTATGTTTTCCTTTTGAGCCCTGTGTGAAACTATATAAATAATTAAATCCAGTTGATTCATTTGCATAGTCATATATTTTCTTTCTGTTGCCTTCTCAAACTTTTGCTGCAGCAGCAGTTTATTCCTGCCTTGTAAATGCATTTAAATTCATTCAAATTTTAATTACGACTTCTCTTAAAAAAAAAAGTGAATTGCACCAACTCTCGCGAGAAGTGAATCAAACTGATGCTTTGCTGACACTCTCCACATGTTCCGTGTGATTGGCTGTTTGCTGCAAGTGTCACACTTTCAGGTGCACGCACTCCGGAGTTAATCACAAACTCTGAGTTGACTGAGAACATTTATATCAAGTTTTGTGAGCCCGCTGATCCTGAGCTAAACCAGGTTGGATTTGTTTGGTTTTGTCAACTCTAAACTTACTCCAAAACTCTGATGTTCATCTCGCTTCGTGCTACAGGCCACAGGTAGCAACATTAACACAAGACCCAGAACAGAACAAAACACAGGGCTTAAATACGCAGAGCCAACAAAGGATATAATGGTTTAATTAACAAGACACAGGTGAATGGGGTCAATCAATCAAATAAATTGGGAAAAGTAGGTCAACAGGCAAAGAGCAACCGAACACAATGAAAACTAGGACAAAACAGAACGTAACACTGACAAACGTACTTTTTAAAAGTGTAGACAGACTGTCATGATTATGTAGCGTACAGTGATTCATAGTGGACAGTCACTTCTGAACACTTTTGACATATACTCTTTTCTGTGGTAAGAGCTTGTGTGTAGTGTAGTTGTTTACCATGAATTCACCTCTAATTTCACTTTTAGTTTATACAGAAGCGTATATCATTACTTAATTAGATATGTTACATTAAATATATATATCTCAAATTTTCTATATGGAAAATGAATACGTTTTGCTTCTGGATCATGGCTGCTATACTACAGGTTCTCTACAGGGTTTTCAGTGGTTATTTTATTACATGCAAAGTAAATAATGAATAGCTTTTTTTTAATCCAAATAAGTCAGTAGGATTTAATGTTGTTTGAACCCTGATGTTTTTCAGAATATCTTCTATGTTCCACTGAAGAAAGTCATACAGGTTTGGAATGACGAGTATTTGTCTTGTTAAATGATGCAATTTATCTCAAAGTGCTTTTATTTTCTCACACTTCTGTTGTGTTTTTATGTTTGTTTGTTTGTTTTTTCCAGTTGGTTTTCCTGGCCGGATCCATGGTGCTGGGATTGGAGTGAGTGCATCTGTGATTCTGTTGGTCTGTGTTACCATTGTGCTTTACAAGAAAAAAAAAGGTGAGGTCCTCTAAAAATGTGAAGGTTTAGTCATATACACTGTTTTTATGAAGTACTGGCATGAACAAGCTAAACACATGGCTCTGTATGATATTTGTTTTTTAATATTTCTACAACCATGGATGATTGTGTGCTTATTGGTCAGGATATGCTCCAGGTCGTGCTGAAGAGACTGTTTGATCCTGGTATGTATCATTGGTATTTTGTAAAATACTGCTGTTATGATGTGTAATAGTTCAAATCATTATCTTTAGTCTTATCTTTTGAAACATACTACACTTATTAGGCAGTCAATTATAGTACAGACAGCGGTGACCACAGCTAAACGGCTTTCCCTTTCCTTTTTATTTTACCACAGGAGATGCATCATTCCACCTGGGCATTTCATCTTCAGTAATTTATTAGGAACTGTACTCTTTATCTTTTATATTGGAAGGCCATAACCATGTCTTGAACATTAAAGGGGGGGCAAACTAATTTTTAGTTTTTAAGAAATTTAATAATTAAAGGGATTTAAGGGAATAAATGTGCATCTACATAAGCGTGTACATAAATCACAGAAATTATTGCCTATATATTTTCAATTCTGAACAGTGAATTTTGGCCATTTCTGAAGAGGGACTTGTCCCCTCAATGTCTATGGTGGTTACGGGCCTGTTTTATAGCATTAGCTCTATTATTCTGCTTTTATTGACTACATTTAGCATCTCATGGCTTTATAGCTTGTAGGATTTTGTTTGTTTGTTTGTTTGTTTCTTTCAATTATGACTCTATGAACTATGACTCTAACCTAAATGAAGCTACATGATGAAATAATGATATTAGTTATTATATCATAGAATTATATATTTAATACAAAATATTTTTATAATTACTACATGTCATATGATTAGCACAAATGAAAACAAAGTATTGAAAACACTTAAAATTATATTGAAAATATTTTATCATAAAAATACATTTTGTGTTTGTTATGCAAATGGACACATACAGTATGTTTAACTCTATACATGTATATGAATTATACACTGAATTATATTGTAATTTAGTATATTTAACATATATATATATATATATTGTATAACTTAATACATTTAACTGTATTATTTGTATTATTAATACATCTATCACTGGTTTAGTCAGTCTGTGGGGAAAGAACTTGGTGGATTGCATGGCACTATGGTGAGCATAAAATGTGTGCGAGCATAAGTAACTGTATGACCAGGGCAAGTATTTGTTTAAATTGCTGCTGTGGAAGCAAAATGAAATGAAATGCTATGCCAGTGAGTTCACAAATCTAATACATTACCTGTCATATCTAATACATATTACCTGTACCTTTGTGGGAAAGGATACTGGCACTGCTAGATTTGTTCAGATTTGTATCAAATGTCTGTTTAAAGCATTATATATGTCATAAATGATGTTTAGTAATCAGGGCCATCCTTAGGGGGGTGCAACTGGTGCGAACATGATCGCGAACAGACCGAGGGGGGCCCTGCTCCCTACCTCACACCGGGCCCCGCGTCAGCTAAGGACGGCCCTGTTAGGAATATTTGCTTAGCTATTGTATTGCACAGCTTCACTCTACTCTTTGTAATGACTTCTTCCTTTTAAGCACTTAAACCCTTTCTGTCTAGGTGCAAAAATGTTTTGTTTCTGTTAATAAAATTATATCAGAACATTTGAGTGTGTACCTGATTTATTTTTCTACACCTCAGACAAGTTTAGAAAGTCAGCAGCTGAGATGACGAGAGTAAATGTATTGTTTATTAGTTACTTCATGATACCTAACACATTAACTAATGTTAATAAATTAAGCAGGGTGGTGTATTCAGCACACCCACAGACAATTCATGGCCTGATGTATACTGTACATTTAAATGACCAGAACTGGCTAAAACCACCAGTTCCTGTTTCATTGGCTAGTTGTTTCAAAACCTTTAGGAATCTGCACAGATGTTTTTGCTGGAAAACTTGATCAGACGATCAGAATTCCAGGAAACAGTTCTGTTTACATCATGGTTTACATATTACCAGCAGCAAGAAAAGATCAACATATTGTAAGTTTATTTTGTTGATTGCAATTTTAGTGACGGTACTATTCCCGTGACCCCACATACATGCTTATATCATTTATACAAGGAATATCACAGGCCTTAAGTACTGAAAAAGATATTCTCTTCAAACACGTCATATTTTGTCACAACAGTAATTGACAAACATTAGCCTACTACACAGTAGTTGAGTGCTTGGAATTGTCCCATGCACATGAGGTTTCAGCCCATCTCAGAGGTTACAACTGCTACCATATTAACATAAGAATTAAACACTGTCCAACTACTGGTGCAGCCAATCGTGCCAGAAAGATCACCTCACATATCACCAGCAGGAAATGATGCAGAATTGAGTGAACTGTAATGACCCTGTCATTCAGCATTGACTTCAGCCACTCATTTGCCAGAGAAATAATCACACCACATTTTTTCTCTTCATACTACAATTTGTCAGTGGAAACCTGCTCAACTTTGTGTTTGTGGGTGTTGTGGTATTCATTCTTTCTACCCAGAGCCCTTAGTGCATCATTTTCTAAGTTATGTTATGAAACAAAATCTCTCTGCAGTGTTAAACTAATGACAGTTGTAAGATTTTGTAGTTCAGTTTAACATTACATTTTTTATGATATTCAAAATCAGTCAGAAATGCTGATTAGAACTTGAGAACATTATGTACAACAATGTAAATTAACACACTCACTTTACCCTTCCTCTCTGTTCAGGGAGAATATGCGCTATTTATAAAAAAAGATGGTTCTTTAAAGGTTCTTTACATGCAGTAATGTTATTATTTAGAACCATAGCATTCTGAAGAACCCTTTTATGCTGATATGGTTCTTTGTTCCCGCCCTTTTGTCTTCAAATCTGTAACTGTCAAAGCACCTCATTACTGATTTTCTGGAGTTCAGTGATCCAACTACACAGACTGTCAACACACTCTCAACGGGTAAATGATTTCATTCTTTAATTTAAATACAAATTTAACTTTAAAATTGTAACTGATTTCCAAACAAACATGTTCTTATCTCTTTTTTAGTTTTTGTTCACATACAAGTGTGTGCAGCTCTGCTAAGCTGTGGAAACTTCTCTCCTCCACAAAGTAAGCAAAAGAGACTCCCAAGAGAAAATGAATTTATAACTAATTTTGTTCGATTTTTTTTATTATTACTTGGGTTTATGTATAAGCATACCCAGTAACAAAAAATATTAAAACTATCCCATGACTTTATATCATTTTTTTCTTTTAAGATTGCGAAGGGCTCACATACTGTCCATGTTTGCTTTTGGCCTTCATAAACGTAATTGTTTTCACACAAACACATGGACACACTGTAAATTTAAACTCAACTGTGTATTTCAGATGTCTCACATCCTACAACCTCATCATCTGCAGAGAGAAACTGCCACTCAATCACACCAAAATACACATAATGATTAACTTAAAGGCATCATAGAGGATTGTGAAGATATTTCACTGGAGCTTGGTCTTCATTTCACTATTTTATGTTCTATTTTGTTTTACTTCTTTAAGCATTTATTTATGTTCAATTTCCATTGTCATTCATGAATGTATTCTGCTAATAACTGTTGTTAGATCACTGTAATTTTTGCTACAATTTCACGTCATTAAAAAAATAAAAGTACCTAATTGACAGTTTGTTGTTGTTGATGATGATGATGATGTTGTTGTTGTTGATTTTATGTAAAACCCTAATAGACACTTCAAGATATTATAAGATCAGGCCGATAGAGGGGTAAAAAACAATATTAATAAATAATATATACAAATAATACTAATAATTATGATATTAAAGGGGTCATCGGATGCTCATTTTGCACAAGTTGATATGATTCTTTAGGGTCTTAATTAAAAGTCTATAACATACTTTGGTTAAAAATTCTCAATGTTAGTGTAAAAAACACTTTTTTAAACTGTCAAAATCAGCTCTGTTTTTATCAAGCCATTATAGTCCATGTTGTTTTAAATGTTAATGAGCTCTGCTGGCCCCGCCCCTCTCTTCCGAGCTGCTCTCAGAGAGACTGTTTACTTTAGCCGCATTCATCGTGAAACTTG